TCAGAGCAGCTGGAGTACCTGCAAACAGCGGTAGCCTGTGGTCTTCAGTTTGCTTCAAAGGGAAGGTTTGGTTGTACATTCAAGTGTTCTGCTGCCCTCTCAGGGAGTGTTTGCTGCGGGTGGGACATTCATCCTCCCTCAACACAGCTGGATTCCCAAGTACGGTGAATGTTTCTGAAATTTTACATTGAGCCCTGCAAAAGGTGGTTTTTAAAAAACATCTCTTAAGAGTATCAACTTTAGAGTAAACCAGTGGTACATGATTGATGTCTCCCACTGCCCTTTCTAAAGGCAAGTCCAGTGGGGAATCATAGTCAATTGCTTTCAGTGGGTATTTCGCTATCACTGTGAGACTCAGGGATAGTGTAATTTATTTTATCTCCCCCAGAGGCCCTTTGTCCCTTCACTCTCAGTTGCTTTCTGAAATGAAGCAATGGCTCTGAGTCATTCAACCATTCAAATCCAGCTTCCCAGAATCATAGAATAATTGAGGTCAAACAGGACCTGCTCAGAGCAAGGCCACCTTCAAAGCTAGGTCAGGTTGTTCAGGGAGTTGGCCAGTCCTGTTTTGGATGTCTCTGAGGACTGAGGTGCTCCAATCTGCCTGGGCCCCAGTTCCAGTGGTTCACCACTTTCATTGTAAAGATTTTTAACTTGTAGTTAATCAGAATTTTCCTTGTTCAGCTTGTATCTGTTGACTCTTGCCCCTCAGGACTTCTTTGATCCATACTATATGTTGGTCCCCATCTCATTAGCAGAGAACTAAATGCATTTTTTGCATTTGGTAGTAGTTGTGCACTAGTTTGCACCCTTCACTTGGGTTCATCTTTCAGGGTCTGTATCCAGTTTGGGGAATACAGCATTCTGACAACTTGGTGAAGTAAAGGAAATTCTGTCAAAAAATGTTCTTGGAATATAATTTTTTGGCCAGCCTCAAGAATTATACTTATGACATTATCAGTGTCTGTGTTATGAGGAAGCAGTTTTGGGATATCAGGAGGTTGAATCTGGGAATTATCTTGTCTCTGAAGGGTCTGACCTCTTTTCCAGCTGTATTTCATGATGTGCATTTTTCAAATGTCTTTGTTACAGTCATTTAAAAAAGTAACTACATTTGCAGTTATAATGGATGCCATGCAAAAGATTCAATAGACTCCAGGGGAGCTAGCAGATATTAAAACTTGGAGGGGAATCTGCCAGCATTTTTTTTCATACAGAGAATAGCCTACACTTTTCAACAGCCAAAATATGACTTACCTAATACTGCTGAAACAATGATATCCTGGGTTCATTTTATCAGGTATGATACTTCTGAAATCAAAGATGATTTAGAGGCTGGTAATTGCATACAGCCTTTTGTCTTTACTTGAGGTCATTGGAGTTGAAAGATGGTCTAGACACAGCTGGCTCATTTGAGTTGAGATCTTTCTAGGCAAATGTGATCTAGGCAAAAAAGACTAATAACTTTTCCAGCAATGAGGAAGAGCAACAAGTGCCAATTGCTAGAAGTACCAGTGTTACCTTCTTAGTATGAGGGTATACTTTGGAGTGGAAAGTAGTTATGGAAGATAAAATTAGAAATTTCAGTTTAGAACCAAGAGTAGACTCTGAACCAATCTCTTAGATGTCTTGTAGCCCAGGGTTAGATCAGGTCTCATTTCCACTTGAAACAAGGAAGCTTAGAAAGAATACGAGACAAAAGTGACCTCTTTGTCACTCTTATTTATCTTTCTGAAGATCAGCCTTGCCTAAATGCTGGAAAAATAAGACTGAGCTGTATCTTTTGGGGTTTGAAATTTGTATTTGATGAAAAAACATAAGCATTTAGGTTTTTTTAGTGGAAGAAAGATAAGTTAGGTTACTGTTTTCCTTGGTTGATAAATAGACATGATCTCAAGTGACCCCATCTACATAAATATTTACTATTTGCTTTACACTATGTGTTTAATTTATATTTTTAAACAACAAGTGAAAAATGTATTTGTTCTGTCCTCTTACCTTTGGTCTGGTTTGTGTGCCCACCCCTTAACAGTGTGCTTCTCAAAAGGAAAATAATTTCCTGATGGCTTGGAAAGGAGTTAGCTCAAGTCTAGCCACAAATAACTGAGAATATAGTCCAAGAAATATGTAACCAATATAATAATTGAAAAAGATATGGAGCCTTATGGTTGGATCCAGTAAATTACTCTGTTTTTCCAGGCAAGTGCCTAGGCAGAAGGTTACAGAATCCCAGCTGCTGCCTCTGAGCCAAGGAGTGGTGGACTCCTGGGTGAGTCGGGGACCAGTCTTCACTGCAAGCTAAGGGATTGCCCTCACCTCAGCTGACCTACAGCCAGACAGTAACAGGACTTGTCTGGAAAAACAGGCCATGTGGAATGAAGGTGACAATTCTATCAGTGTTTTACAGTTACAAGCTTTAGCCACTAGGCTATTACAGAAAGATAGAGACCAGCAGAAAGAGCAACACTGTGTCTTACAAGGAAAGCCAGAGCTTTGTTTATTGTGTCCAGGAACTGGAGGCAGCCAACTCCCTCTGAGAAATCCTCTCCATCTCAGCAGAACAAAGCTGTGCTCCTGTGCCAGGCTTTTAACCAAAAGAGAAGGCCTGACTGTGACTATTTCCAGCAGGGTGCTCTTGGGGTGCTATATTGGGGTGCTCTTCTTGTCCTCGGGAGTTTTTTATAAGGTCATTTAGGGATCCCCACTCTAATTTTGCCCTGCATTGGCACCTGGGTGCTTTCCTTGGATCTCGATTCCAGCCCAGGGCTGGATCTGGCTTGCAAGTGTGAATAATCTGCATATTCAGTTGCACAGCTCAATGATATTCCTGTGGCACAGGCTGGGGAGGTGGTGCAAGATCACAGGTTTCCTTACAGATGGGCTGTGCCTGGGAGGAACCTCCATAAAGATCTAGGAGCATTGGGAAGACATTTAGTAAGAACAAGATGACTGCCACCTTGCTGCTTGTCAGGAGCTCACGTCACATGTTTCCTGTGGATCATTTTGGGCTTGTACGTCCAGGCACCTTGCTCCTTCTCCATGATCATTTTACTTCATGTGTTTCAAATGTCCTGGAGCACATCCAGATTGCAAGCTAAGTGTTTTAGAGCAGTATTTTAAGAGGAAGGATTATTTATTTTACTAGTGTTGACACTAAACACTAGGGCTAAACACCAGGGCTAAACGCCAGCCACATCAGGTTGTTTCTGTAAAATTTCTTTGAACTTCGGATACATCTCTGCAGCCTGCAGCCTTGTGTAACTGCAGAGGTTTGTCCAATTTGGCTGGATGTTACATAAGCTGTCTTTTATTTTCCTTTTGCTTGTGATCATGTTACGTAGGCTGCCTTCTTAAATTTCAGCAACCCTAAGGCAGCCTGAGTCATGTGTATGAAGCTCGTTTTTGCACTGTTGTATAAGGTAGTGAATTGCAAAGGTCATGGGAATGAGTTATTTAAAAACTGAAACATGCTGGGCTCTATCCAGCTTAGAACAGATGAGCTCAAAAAGGCATTTATGTTTTAAATTACATTTTGGGTTATCAAGAACTGATATATTTCAGTCACTATTTCAGTTACCTTAGCAAACTCCTGTAGCACACAATATTCCTGTTTCTTTTAAATGTGTTGTTGAGACAAAAAAAAAAATATTTACTTCCAATCCTCAGGAAACAAATGCATTCAAAAATATTGTCATCATAAGCACAGTCTCCATGCTCATTTGTTTTCAATGCTCACAGCAATTAATGTCCTTTGCTGTTTGTTCCCAATGGAAAACGTAAAATTCATGGTTGAAGTGCACAGAGTGCTTTGCTCAACCCAGTGGACGACCAGGTTGTGTCCCATATGTCACTGTGCTCTTGTGTAATCTGGCTCAGTCATACCGATGCCATGCAGGTTAAAGGCGCAAGAACAAATTACTGTGGAGTCTCATTCTCTGTCTAGTTTAAGCCATCCAGCTGTAACCTCATTTATAGAAAGCTCTTTCTTGCTTCGTCTTTCATGTCCCCTCCCAGGCACTCCGAGTCACCACTCATACAAGAGCGTGTCCAGCCGTACTTTAAAGTGCTCCCAAAAGCACTTTTAATTTTGGATCGTTTCACAGAGCAGTTCAGGACGCGACTCCGCCGACGGCTCACTACACAGAGCAGGGCAGACAGCAGTCTCTGGCAGCAGGGAGGGGCATTGCAGCGGGGCCGGGGAGCAGGAGGGAGTACAGAGCCACACTCTGGGAGTGATTTTTGTTCTCTCCATCAGCCCGTGCAGCTATCCCAACATCACTTTGGCCATTTGCAAAATTCCACGTGTGCAATTCCAATTTACTTCCGTTTTCATGAAGCAAAATGTAATCAACTTGTGATTGCATCAAATCTTGTTGAAAATAGAAAGGAAAAGTTATGGGATGAGAAAAAAATAAAATAAATTTGTTCGGCATGAGAAAGCAGTGAAATTACTCTGATTACTAAAAACCAAAACAGTACAATCCACCTCCCAAAATATTGCACCAGTATCAGAAAATTAGGTAACAGCATGTTCTCAGACAGGCTCGCTATGCAGTGTACTGGTAAATGATACAGACAAAAAGTGGCTAAGCTAGAAGTTGTGAAGTCATGTGTGAGCATGTAAGAAAGGAAAAGAATTTAAAAAAGGATAGAAATGCAAAGGCACAGTAAACTGAGGTCAGGGACATGACACTGACAGGAAGGAGAACACTGGGGCAAAGAACTTCCTGGAAAGGGCTTGAATGTGAGCACAGGTAGGCTCTTACTGTTTGCCTGCCTGCTTTTTGCTGTGTTCAGGAAAACAAGAACTTTTTAAATAAAGGAATTGTACACATGAGTCTATTACACTATACTCAGTACCAACATCATGACTCAGAGTGATTGCTAGGATCAAATAGGAAAGGCTAAAAGAAGAGCTGGACTAAGGAAGAATAGGGTCTATGAAGCTGTAAGGGTTTAAAACCACCAGCAAAAATAAAAAAAAAACCCAGTGATTTCCCTGTATTCAAGTTGTTCTGATTTGTATTTGCATGTGTCAATGGGTAAAATATATGAGTCACGGGTGGGGCTTTTTTCTCGTATGTTAATAATGAAGGGATGCCTTACCCTGAGTTGAAAAGCAGTGCCTTAAATTAATCTAGAAACCATTTCTTAAATCTGCCATCATCTGGAGACTGGCAACAAGCTCTCTATCCCCCAGAGGACAGCAGTAAAACCAAGCAAGAGAAATCTGCAAAGAGAAAGTCTGTTCAGTTCTCTAACACTGCTCTTATCCTCTTGAACTATCTTGGGTCGAGCAACTGGAAGACAGCATGTCCTGTAGGCAGACAGCTCCTGGCAGGCAGTCAGTACAGCTGCGAATATGACACTCTGTGCCAAACATGAGTCTGTAATTTCTACTGCTCTTCAGTGGTCAGCTTTTTGAGGATACCATTTAGTCATTTCCTGGGAAGACAAAGGATGCCCATCAGAGCTAATGATACTTTACTTGCTCACATGTTGCCATGTGGGAGGTGGCTATAAAACACACTTGAAAAATAAGCACAACTGCTTCAAAATTACAGCAACGGTGTTGATACAGGAATGTGCTGCCAGGCAGTTCTCAGAGTCCCTGAACCCTTTGTCAAACAAGTAGGAATTTTTTTCTGACTTCCCCTTCTCGGCTAGGAGAGCAAATGCACCTCAGGAGAAATTAAAAGTGTGTTAGTTTTCATTAACTTTTAATTTGAAGTCTGCATAACTGAATGAAAGCACTGTAGTAATCTGGAAAGAATATTAGAAAGCCCTGTTGAATCAGAGATAATTCCTCCCCTGTCTCTGAAAAGTCAATATTAAAAAGGTGCTTTGTTCAGAGGCATAGTATCCCCACCAGTACTGCCAAAGAATCTTTTCCAACTCAAGCAGTGGGAGCGGCTCTACAAAGTCATTTCAGGCTGCTGCAACATTCCCAGGACTGTAGTAAAGGTCAGTATATGTGTCCTTCAGCCATGGAGTTTTGATTAGCAAATCTGCGTTGTCGACAACTCTGAACTGTTTCCAGATGGTGACATATCAGGGCTCCCATGTGCACGAGAAGTGCACTCCCTGTGCCCAGCTTGTCCTCAAAGGCACTGGGCTTGCTACACAGCATTCAGGCTGTAACACATACTGCAGCAAGGCTCACACCCAAACATTCCAACCATGTCAGAAAAGTTTAAAAATGTTGTTTTGCTGCCAGATCTTTCTGGAAAAAAAAGAAAAAAAAAAAGGCTGGTTAATATCCAAATAAGGATGACCTATGACAATAGACAAACTGGGTCTTGAGCGCCTCCCTGCATGCTTATAACCAGTAATGCTTGTGAACAGGGATTTTGTACATGAAACAAGGCAAACTTGACTTAAGGAAATGGGACTATGGTGTGATTGAATCTCTTCTCACGCTGTACCATTTTCCAGGGTCATTCCTTAAGGCCATCTTTACAGTACTCACAGTGCCAGACCCTCGTGTTTTCATGATTTTAGCACACCTGCAGCAATCATAATTCTGCCAGGTGCCTTGCCACCTTTACCTTGTGTTCTATGACTGTGCTCAAGCCTGTTTGATCTTGCTACCAAGGCCAAGTCATCAGGTGTAGTAGTGTAATGTTGGGAAGCCACGTCTCTGACCCCATTAAAGATGCAGTGATGAGTCCTGCCAGAAATCTGTCCATCCCTGTGAACTAGAAATTCCTTGTTTGTTGCGTACAAGCACCACTAACCAAGCTTGTGTGGCTATGGATTAGTGTGTCAAATACACTTCTGCTGCAGTTGCTCCACATGATGCATTGATATAACCAATGTTGAAGTAAATACAGCATCTGGAGCATTCTTTGGCTTCTTTTGGACATCAATAAACAGTGTTCACTAGCTGTCTCAAATCAAACACCTTTACAAAGAAGAAAGATTTGGTTTTGATGTTTGAAAATTATTATTTTTAATGCTTTTGCTTTATCTTCTGTCAGCTACAGCCAGTTTCTGTACCAGAGGAATAGAGAAAAATGCTGTATGATGCAGAGATGAACAACAGGCTTGTTTGTGGCCACATACCAGGGAGCAGCTGTGAAGCGCCTCCGTGGCAGCCAGGAACATCAGAGGAGCTGGATGCAGAGAGGAAATGTCACTATATTGATTTATTGCTTCTGTTTTGTTTTGTTTTCTATTAATACCACACTACTGCGTTATTTAAGCTTAAGTATGGGAAGCAACTAGAGACTGTGACAATGCAGCAAGCTGAACCTGCCAACGCCAACGAAAGTGGGAGGGAAAAACATACATTTCAGTGAGAGAAGAACTTGGCCGTGTCACCTTTTGATTTTAGACAATCAAGGCAAACTAAAATGCTGTTGCTGGCAGTGCCAGATTTTAACAGTAACTGCACAGTTACAGGACATTGTATTAGAATTTACATTAATACTTAATTTTGGATTTCACTTTTATTTTTTTTTTTTTTTTTTTTGCCTGTCCTCCTGAAATGTATCTCCCTTAATGCTTGGCCACTCCACAAAGACAGATCCCTGTAGTCAGTATAAACAGGCAATGGAGAGGTAATGTCAAATGCTTTCTGCAAATACAAACTTCTTACAAAGTTTAATTTTTGTGAAAGCTCATGTGTTTGAAATCTTTGTAAGCCAATGATGTAGTAACTTATTTATTCAGGCTTGCTAAGTGCACTGTTTTTCTATAGTCTCAGTTAAATACTGTGAATGAAGGTTGCCATAGTTACAGCTGAATTCCTAAATTAGCTCTATTGTATTGTAATTCTAGTTTCTTATCTTGCTTCTCTTGCTCTGCTACAATGAAAGACACATTTCCATCTCTGTAATTAACCATGATGTGAAAGATCTTGCTCATTCATTTAAAAATGCTTGCGGAAATGTGAGATGAGGGACATTTTCCATTGTCTTGTTTCCCAAAAAACAGTGGGTGACATGGTACTTCCTGCACCCAGTCTGCATATCTTCTGTGCATAACTTCAGCCTAATCCTTGAAATTTAGATTGGCATTTTAATTCATTGCAAAATTATACACCATCAAGTAAACAGGTATGCCCATGACTTCCTTTTATAAAGGATATGTAAAGACCTGCATTACATTTGCGTTTATTTTGACAAAAACCCAAAGGTCCCAGTGTGACTGGAGTTGGAAGGTCTTAACACTGACTTCTCTGTGGTTTGGATGAGGTCTCAGGGTGGTGGCTGGTAAGCAGGAATCATCAAGGACTTCATGTAATATCTACTGAGAAGCAAATGCCTTCTCCTCTAGCTGAACAACAACAAGGTATCTGTCTTATTATCAGAACAACTTGTCTCCAGGAGCTGCTTGTTAACACTTCAAAAATGACACAGGAATAATTGGCAGTGATTCAGAAGTTGTGTCAGGCTCCTGAATCCTTACAAAGCAGACTGGGAGCTGAATCTTACTTCCCTGCATGTGAAGTCTCGGCACATCTGGGTCTGCCCTGTGCTTACCACTGAGAGCAAGACCTGCTCCAGGCTGCCACTGCTGCTGGATCTGGGCAGCGAACGGGGGCAGCAGCTCAGTGATATAGCTGAGGTCATACCTGCTTACCACACTCCTGTTTTCTGCTACCTGCATTTCTCACCTGCAGTCCAGTCCCCTTCCTTGTGCCAGCTGTCATCCTCCACAGACCCTTTGCCAGGACAATGCAACTCCTAAACTGGAAATAGATGACTACTCATTTTTTTCTCATTGTGTTGGATACTGCTGGTTCAGTGAGTTGAATCTGCCCAGAGAAGAGGCAGAGGGGCTGTTGGGCTGGGCTGAGGGGATACGTTGACTCCTGGGGAGAAACAAAGGGGAGCAAGGAAGGCAGGTCTCCTCTTGTCTCTGCTCTATCATCAAGCTGTTCCTTTGGATCTTAACGGTGTGTGTTGCCATAGGATTTGTTAAATCAGCATCGCTTCCTTAATACAGTAGTATATTATGGAATTATAGGAATTTATCATGTGTGTACCTTACAGAAGGGATCCCCTGGCCATTTGGGAGGAACCACCATAAACTGACATGAACTGGGCTTTGTTTTGAATGAGATATTTGATGCAATACTGGTAGAACTTTAAAGAAAACCAGCATTCACCATGCTTTAATATCAAATTTCCTTAGATTATATACACAGCACATCTGCATAGTGGACGTAATGAAATAGGCATTTCGTACCCATAGTGAAATCTTCAGTTTGCTTGCAGCCTGTGACTGTGATGCCATATGCTTGGCTGAGCATGGGTCCTGATGGATCACTCTGCAAGGATGCCTTACGCTGGGGGCTGAGCTGCTTGGTGAGTCACTGCAGTAGAATGCATGGTGGAAAAGCTCATTTCCCCAGTTACTCAGAGGTAAAATATTTTTGGATCCATGCCTGGTTTGTGCTAGGAATATTAAGGATGTTGTTGTTTTTCTGATAAAGTTCCATTAAGAGAGACAGAGTGATCATGGCTGCAGTTAGCACTGAATTCTCCCAGAATTCGAGATGACTTTTCCTTTCCAAATCAGTTCACATGGCTTTGTCTAAAACATGCCTTGAAACAGTACAGTTGGCTTCTGTATCAAACACACAGGACTGCATTTACTCTTTCATCTTTGCTTTATCTTTAATCCCCAAGAGCAAACTGGCATTGAGCCTTCATCTGAAACATGGACTGTAGCAAATATGTAATTTTTCAAGCCTTGATACAGTAATTAGAAGATGAAAAATAATATAAATTTTTTTTTTTAAAGCGCTGTTAAAGCCATCCAAGTTCTTCAAAATAACAAGTGGAATTAAAACGACGCTTTTAATCAGAATCAACGCAGTGGAAGGAGTGTCCAAATTTTCCCATGGTGAAAAACTAATGGGGCTAAGAGTGCTGGAGCTGGAGGTCAGTCTGTAAAGCAGAGCACATTGTGCGCTCGGGTGTCTGTGCACAGTGTTGATCAGCTCTCATGACATCTGGATGTGAGTGACTGAGTGCAGAACTTGCTCTGCCAGCAGTAAACATGGCTAAAGCAGACAACCAAAGAGAAAGTGGTGAAGGACTGAGCAGTCGTGTTTCTCTGAGTTCTGTAGATTATGCTCACTGGGGTGGGAAAAGCACAGGCCTTTCTCCAAATCAAAGTGTATGTCTCACCATTTATTGAATCCTAACCTTTTCTAAACATTCTCCTTTTTGCATCTGTTCTGTTTCTGAGGGGGTGGCCACCTGCTTACAGAGGGCAGCAATGTCATCTGAGCTACCTAAGGTTCTAATGTTTTTTTTTACCAAAAAGGGCACTGTGCTGAGCATGGTGAGGATTTCTGCCTGTTTCTGCTGGAGGCACAATACTATAACCTTGTTGGCAGGTGCTTTCAATGCACTATAGCAACAAGGTGGTCTGGTAATCAAGTAATTGTAGAGAAAATAGGGTGATACATCAGGCCATGATTTATTTGACATCAGAAGTCATCTCATAACCCCTGCTGTAGGCACCAAAACTCAGTGGTGATAATGGGAAACCTTTTCTCTCTCCATCATCTTTCCTCATCTTCTCTTCTTCATTGTTCCCTGTGTCATTCCTTTTTCTTTCTGCAGGCAAAAGAAATGAGATGTATTTAGTGCCTTTGGAGCTATGGGACACCTACTCTGTTCTCAGCTTGGGGTCTGACACCCTTTGCCACTGGAACTCCTTTGCTCGCAGCAGCACCATGTGATGCTGAACCAGAGCTCTGGAGAAATGTGTGAATCTCTGACATGGTTGTTAATGAGGAATTCAAGCCGGTGCTTATTACTAAGCAGATGGTTACCCACAGGTAATCAACCAGCAACAGCACTTCAGGTTATAAGGGAGGTTGCAAGTATATGCCTTGACCCCTTGGGGTCTGGAAACTCTGTATGACAGAGCTAGGCACCTGCAAGTCTTCAAAATGCCCCTGAAGGTCACCTTTGGTGTGAGTCCTGGAGACCATGTTTCTCTGAGCTACGAGTGCTCAGTGTTGGAAAGGCATCCAAATATCTTGGCATGGGTAAGACGATGAGGGCTGTGGGCTTGTTACCTTGCATGGAAAGCTCTTGGACTGTGCAGAGTAGTCTTTGCTCCCTCCAGCAGCATTAAATGACCCACCCAACTGGGCATCCAGTCTTGCCCTGGGTGGTAGAAGGAATGGTCTATCCAGAAGAAGAGGCTAGCATAGCCAGAGCAGTACGTCTCTTATTTCCCTATCTCTGATTCTCA